GTGGAAAAAGGGGCGAGGACTGCAAGGAAACCTTGTCCTGGTGATTAGCTCCTGTTGCAGTTGTCAGAGGTGTAGTTCTGTTTGTTCTGTCGCTTCTTGTGCCTCTGTCTGCAAATTATGTGCCAAGCGAAAATTAACTTGCTCCTTTGAAGCTGCTTTGATAGGATGTGTGTGTCTAAGCCTTAATAACTATTATATAACAGAGTCATTTCAGTTTTACTCTTCCTTGTTTGCATCTTTGGAATAATTGAGGTCAAGCTGGTTGCTATCCTGAGGTGACAATAATGGAGAATTACGTGCTTTTTCTTCGTAATGGGAAGGGAGTATTAATCAAAAAAGGGCAGTTGATATGGATGTCATTATCCTGTTCCATCTTTCCAAGATGCTTTCAGAATATCTCACTTAGTGTCCTAGGATCCTTCTGCAAAATATTTTTTCTCATTAAAATAACAATGTTCACAGAGGCTGCTGTGTGTTTTTATCTAGATTGAAGCTTTGTGGGAAGAATTTCTTTCTGTCTACAGCTCAAGAAAGCCCTTTTTGGTCAATAACTGAGTTTCTTATTGTAAGCAAAGTATACAGGTCTGTTAATTGTGGAGTAAGCATGTCTGTAGTCATATGGTCTTGTGTACCTTTCTACACTAAACAGATTCAGGACTGAAAAGCAGAAAGTTCCTTAATAAGAGATTGGCGTTACATATTGCAGCGCCTTTAGCAACAACTCTTGTATATAAATCTTTTACTTCAACTATATATTAAACTCTAATTTTGCTTTTCTACCTTGCATACTGTCTATGGAATCCCACTAGAATATTGATGGATGTGACTTTACTGAAGGGGTAAAGCTATAAATCCTTGTCAGGAAATCTTTCATTAAGTAGGAAGGTGCATGTATCGAGTGATCATGAGTAAGTTGGAGGAGAATTTTCAGAAGTTAGGCCCAGGGAAGAAAACTTCTCTTTCTCTGCAGTGGTTATAACTCAAAATAAGAACATATCAAATGGGGAAAAAAAAACCCCAAACTCCACATTTCTACTGCAACTGTAGAGTTTATCTTCATTTGACAGACATTTCAGTAGGAGAGGTATACTTTCTGAGCTGGTGATTGGCAGCACTGAATTCTCCAGATGTGGCTGAAAACAAACTAAAGAAGGAAGTAATATTTGTTAGGTTGGGTTTTTTTTTTTTCACATGTATGTTTATGCTCTTTCCTTTTTCAGAATAAATAATTGAAAATAGGAAAGCTTCATGGAATACCATGTGGGAATTGTGAAGCTGAGGTGTTAACCAAAGTGTCACATGAGTGACTGGCATGATTACTTTAGTGACACTGGAGTTCCATGTGTTTGTATTACATTTTGATATATACGGTATATGAATCTCTGTATTATGCTTTGATATAAATTGATTGACTGTTCTAACTTCTAATTTTTGTAATATGATGATTGATATTGTTATTGATGATATCTGGGTCAAGATTGTTGATGATACCTGGATCAAGCCAGGAGTCCTTGCTTAAGGTCAGAGTCAACTTTATTAGAATTAAATAACAATCAAATGTATTTGATTTACAACAACTTAGAAGGTTTTTATTTCTGTGTGGGCTTGGTTCTTCCTTCATGCCTGCTTTTCTTTTTAAGAAAAGCAATGCTTTACATTACAACAAAAGGAAAAAACCAAAAACCCTGTGGAACACACTTGTTTAAAAATGAGAACCAAGGTCTGGACTCATATCACTTTGCACCTATTCTCAGGAGGTTTCAGAAACTGACCTCTCCTTTTGTCCTTTCCAAATGTATTTCAAAATGCTTTTCTTCTGTTGTGATTATCCAAAAGCAGGAAATTGATGGTATTAGGAGGTATTTGGGACACTCCTCTCCCAAACACAACTTGATATATTTCTGGTATTTAAAAAAAAAAAAAAAAGTGATGTGCATTGAATTTCTGTTACGTAATTGTCTTTCCCCCGTGACAGGTGTCTTTTTCTGTTGATCACTTGTTTATTTCTATGGATGCTCTGATTTTCATATGAACACTGTTGTTTATTTTCCAATTTTTGGGGGATCGTTTTCAGCTGTGCAGCCGGCAGTGGAAAAGCTTTAAAATAAATAAATCACTGCATTGAATCTTCCAGGAGAAGTGCCCAGAGGTAACTTGGCAGACAATGTGCTGCTAGCAGTAGTATTGCTGACAGCCCACACAGGGAATGCTGAAGCAGAGAAAGGGCGCTATTAACTGACAGAGCAAAGTGAGTCCTCAATGAATGTGCCATGATCCACATGGCCTTATGATAAAGGGAAGGTGTCTGCCTGCCCTTTGAGGTAAAATGGCTGATGTCACTCTTTGTTTTCTTCAAGGAGCTTGAAATCACTGTGTCTTAGGTTGCTGAGAATGCTTGTTTGCTGGAATGGTTATTTGCTTCTTTGAGTCAGTTTCTGTTCTTTCTTTTCAGTGCACTCAGTGTAGCCTTTTTTATCAGTCTATTTGCAACAGTGTAGGGAGGTCACAGGAAGCATACTATACGTCAGAAATGTAATGATCAAAAACCTGATGAAGCTCATATATATATATATTTTAACGTGGTATTAGCTTGGACAAAATGAATTTGAATCTGTAGTTTACGAATCTTTTCTTTTGAAAGCTTTGATAATCTCAAGTGTGTGTGTATAATATATATTTTAGGGGAAGTATTCTTTTTGGAAGATACCATGTTTAAAACACTTTACTTAGCAAAGTAAAGTTGTGAACTTCTCAACATCCTGAATTTTCCAGAGTGCGTCTAGCTTGCTTTTATAGTCAAGCATTACAGCATCACAGACTGCCTTTTTTCAAACTGTGACTTTGCATAGCAACATCTTTCATATCTATAACTACGTTATAACTTTCTTGTGGTCAGTGATAGTGTCTTGCTGGTGTCCTCAGGTGCTCTGATCTGGTGGGGTTAGTATTTACTTGCATTAGAGGAGAGATGATGACTGTTGTGTTAAATGCTGCATAAATGTAGAATAAGGAGAATGAAGATAAGATAACCCCAAATTGAAAGCACCTACTTCGAAAAGCTTTCTTTGGAATTGAGTGGATTTACAAATTTTTGCATTAAATAAAAATCCACATCGTCCCATAAATCTTGTAATAATTAAGCCAAATGTGTTTGTCTAAGCTTGGTTGGAGTCGGTGAGCTAATACAGGAACATTGCAGTTAACATTGGTAAATTGCACAGTAAATGGGTTCAGTGCTGACCCATTCTGTAATCTCAGCCTTGTATGATTCATTCACATAGCTGAAGGAGATGGACTTTGATTTATCTCTAGTCATGTTTAGAATTTGAACTTTAGATGTGAGATTGAATTAGCATAATAAACCTATTAAGCACTGATCTTTTTTTTTTCAAGTTTGTATTCTTCAAATAGCAGTTTCTTAGATTACGTAAAAACATCAGATTTAGCAAGACAGACTCTCTGAGAAGGGAGGGAAGGGGGATGTAATGAAGAGATGTTTGTGGAATAAATGTCATGTTTAGTTTAAAAAATCCTCCTATAGGAATACATAGAGATGAATAGAGTAAATGCGTTCATCTCCTTTTGGGAAGAATGACTGGCACATGATTATCCTTTATTTTTTTGAAAGCTGTTTATGAGATGCTGCATGCTTTATAAAAGGACTTTTCTCTTGTATCGATCTGGCAGAGGATGGGTAGGTTGTTTGTACTGTGTCCACCTTTTAGAATCATAAACTTGCAGTTGTACTGAAAGTAGAAAGAAATGAACGTGAAATTTTTCAGGAGAGGGAAAATGATTCAACACGTGGCAGCCATTAATCAGTGTGGACTCTCACAGGTAATTGAATCTTGGGTTTATATTGATAGGTTTTGCACCTGCAGGAGAAAGGGATACTGAGCAACTCAGTTTGTGTTAACTGAGTTGTCTGTCTGGTAGTAGATACTCTTTCTGCTGTATATTGCCAAAGGGTGAAGAGGGGGAAGTGTAATGCTCCATCAGTAAAGAAGTATTGCAGAGGCTTAACTAAAGTTGTTGTCTGAGATGAGGTATATAAACTCTATCTCTTTAGGCATAGGCTGATAGTATCTCAGGGCATTAAAGAAAAAAAATCCAGAGTTAATTTGAGTTTTGGCCCAAGTGTGTATGATTACAGGCATTGATATGATTTTTTTCAAAGACACTGCCAGATGCAGTGTGATACATGAAGGTGGCTTCTCACTTGAAGGAAAGGTAAGTGAAATAAGGAGGCATGTCGATGTGCATGTACAGTTTGCTACGGACTGTAAAAATAGAATTTTTATAAGCTCTTTCTTTTGGTTATAGGAATGACTTTGGAAACTTGCCAGTTTATTTAAGAACAGCCTACTTCTATCTCGTCTTTTATCTTCACTGCTAGCATGCATTTTGTCTTCGTCTGGTTTGTCCAAATCTAGAAACAGATTAACTTTCTCCCTGACAGCTGGTATTCATATCTGACAGTAAATAAGTATTCTAACTTGCATCCCATGATAATGCTTATAAACTTCCAAGTCACTGTGTTTTTTAAGAGCAATTCCTTACTGAAGCATGAGAAATGAAAAATATCAGTTCTTAAACTATGATTAGATGTTTTATGTAGGAAAGGAAGAAGATGGATGGTGTATCTTCCTTGGGTGTCTCAGATCGTATTCCAAGGAAAGAAAATGTAAATCTAAATTAGTAATGGAGAAGGAGATTTGGAAATTTCATGTATTTCCTTATGAAGACTTCTGAACAGTGTGAGCCATTATTTAATCTATAGTGAACCTACTACTTTAAGTGACTGTTCTCTCTAATGTAGTCTTGAAGGTTTGATAGGCTTGTGGTAGTCTCAAGCCCTACGTTTTTGTAAGTAAGTTGATGGTTTGTTTGGATCGTAATGTTAACATTCATTTGAGGCAGCTCTTTACATTTAGTCGTCATATTGAGCTGTAGGAATTTGTGATATTCCTGTGACATCAGATGTTTTTGCACCTTTACAGATGATGAGCCAAGTTGAGGGACAACAGAAGAATCTTGTACAAGCCATTGAAGCTCTCCCAAGTTCTGGCCCCCTTTCTGCCTTGGATCAGGACTTGCTGCTTTTAAAAGCTACCTCTGCTGCCACCCTGAGCTGCCTTGGAGAATGCCTGACTCTGTTACAGCAAAGCATGCATCAAGTGGGCCAGCACCATAACAGGACACTGTCCTCAGGTGAGCATAGTCTCTCTTAGTTATTTTTTTTGAGTGTCTTAGTTTTTTGTTTTTTGTTTAATTAAGCTACTAAAGCAGGCAAAATGAACCCTCCCTTAAAAAAGCAAGTTGGATGGAGCAACTCGTTACAGAACCTTACACATCAGGCATCAGGATTTTTCTTTTAATTTAAAAAAAAATTAGCTGCAAAATCAGTTGGAAACAGAAGAGGGGAGAAAAAGATGTCTTGAGTCTTCCCTGGGGAGTCAGATTCTGAAGATAGAAAGGCAGAGAAGGGATAATAATAATAACAAAACAAAAAAAAAGATGGCATGGAGAACAGGTACATAAGCCTGTATTCTTAATGACAGTGCAGAACCTTTTTTTTTTTTTGTAGAGAGCGAAATCACAATACAGATTTGTTTGATAAAAATGCTGGTGTTTTCTAAAAAATCATATTACCAGTTTTCCTATGTGAAAGGATCCTATTCAAGCGGATTTATTCCAGTCAATGGTTTTACTTAAATCTAGGAGGAGATCTTCTTGCTACTATTAAAATATAGATATATATTGGGCAAATTTTTATGAGCCTAAAATGTGAAAGTTAGATATTGCATTTAGCTCTGTAGGCATGAAGCTCTTGATCCCCATGTAGCACAGTTTTTTTTTTTAGTTCACGCAGTTCTAGAACTCTGTCCATAATATAAGAAGTTAGACCTTTCTGAAAGGGTACTTGTTACTTTCTTATTGCACTGTCTACCTGAAGCACAGGACCAGGAGTTGATATAAGAGGAAGAGCAACAGCAGTATTCTGGATATGGGGATTCTGTGTGTTTTCTGAGGTGAATCAATAACAAAACCCAACTTCAAGTAGGCCCTTAAAAAAAAGATTAAGTCCGAAAAGGCAAAACATTCTTACTTTTACAGTAGGTTTGCTTCTGGGCAAATACACCTTCAGAGCTGCTGAGACAACTGGTTAAGAAGTCAAGCCCTCTACAGAGTTCCCCTGTGGAGAAAGTAGAAATATGAGAGGATCAGCTGAGAAGTAGGGAAAAAAAAGGGAATTAAAAACTGTTATGCCTATACTGTGGTGTATTATGACTTTCCCTAATCCAGTTTCTGATGTTTCATAGGGGACCAGGGGAGAACAACAAAACTCCTGTTGTCTACATTTTGGTTTTAATTTAGAAAATTTGTGTACATCTTCATAGTAATGATGAAGGGCATTTAGTAGATTTCTTTGATGTAATGCCATTTCAAAACAGCATGGGTTGTATCAAAGATGAAAAGCATCCTTCAAAGAAAGGTCAGTTTCCAGTTTCAAGTTCTCTGGATGTTGCTTCCCATGTTCATGTGATCTAAGTGAACTGTCAGAGATAGATGACTTGAATTGTACATGCTCTTGAATTTGTGTCCAACTAATGTTCTTTTAAATTGGTGTCTACTTTGACTTAATAATGATTTTTGTAGATATGTGCACAACGGGGAAAAGCTGTGGAATTCCTTTATTAAAGTTTTTTTTTTAATCCCTCCTCTAAAAAATTCTGGAAGCCACTACTGTGAAGTATTTTAAAAAGTCTAATAAATGTGGTTGTTTGTTTCTCCTTAGACTTTAAACTTATACGAGAATTCTTTCAGGAATTCTGTAGCACTTGTTCATACCAGAATCTTCAGTGTAACTGTGAGAATCGAATACAAACAGTTAATTCTTCATTGTGTAGGTGTGCTTACCACTTGGTATGTAATTTAGAGGGAAGAAGGGGGAGAGGAAGGGGCTAAAACCTGCTGAAATATTTAGTCTATTCTCCTTAACCAAAAGTCTGCAAAAATTATTGTATTTTTTCCCTTTTCCCTGGGACTTATTATGCAACACAGTTGCCTGAAACATCATGGCCTGAAAGTCTTGATTACTGATTTTCCTACACTTAATCTTTTTCAGATGTACTTTGATGGACTTAATGTTTCTGCTGAGTCGGTGGAGTTTGAGTCATCAAAGCTGCATAAACTCATACCTAATCAGACTAGTGCTTTAAGTAATCTAGGAAACTCTAATTCTGAGAGATAATATCTTTCATTTTGATTGTGTCCTCCTGGCGATTTTTTAACATTGCACCAGAAGGAGCAACCAAAGAATCACCTCTTGATGCTGCCAGGTGAAAATCACTTCTTATTTTAAAGGCCTCAGGTTCCTTTGATAAGAAGTCTAAAATACCTTTCCCATGTGATATGATGGTGCTACGCAATATATTGCCAAATGTTTCCATTCAGATGCTGTCTAATTACCTGCTACATGAGGTCCAAGATAATGCTGAATAACTTCTATGAGAAGGCAGTGGGTATCCTGGGCTAGAATCTCCAGGCTGTTGTATTGCCACACGAGATATAGGTATTTAATAACATGCTTGTCTCTAGCCTACAGTTCATGAAAGTAGTCCAGCAAAGCAGAGCAGTACTGCTCGTGTAGAGTGTGAGAAATAAGCAGTGACTTAGCTTTGTTGAATTTAACTTATCCTTGAGGTTACCTTTACTTCAGCATCAGAATCTCTCACTGTTATGTTCTAAATAAGGAGAACTGTCTGAAGAGTAATATGTATCTATTTGCTGAACAACTTTACTCTGCTTCTGTTCTTGAAATTGTTACGGCCAGTTAGATAAGGATTGTTAACTTCTCTGTGCATTGTAGGCCTTACAATCTTAATGCTTCTACAGCAAGGACTTAAGGTAGCTGAATTTCTGACATAATACTCCGGAACTTCAATCGCAAAGATAGTTATTTAGTAATAGCTACTTTAAACAGATTTGTGGGCTGTTATTGTTAAAAAGAAAAAAATCTCCTTTTTAAATGTAATTTATTTATTGTTTTGTTTTCCAGTTGTGTAAATAGAAGGAAAGCATTTTAGCAATCAGTGCAATAAAATCATATAAAAAAATAGAATTATGTAGGTTTTTAAATATTTTATGATATTGTTTGGCATGGAATAGTTTAAGGAAGATGTGATTTTCTGCTCTTCATTTTAGTGTTTCTCACAAGTTGTCAGTCACATAACTCAAGTCTACAAGCAGTTTTAAAGATTAAACTGAAATCTTCAATCTTTTTTTGAAGGGTAGTCAACACATGTTTTAGTCTTGCTGTAAAGATTCAAGGAAAGGTTTTTGTGATTCTCTTTTTGTTAGTGCTTGATTTTTGGAAATGCATCAACAAGAACAGTCAGTGAGACAAAAATCCTGTCTGTTTCTACTTTTGAGACAAAATAATGGCAAACATACCTAGCTGCCTTTATTAAAGGTATGTGTATTGATCTCTGGCTAAGTTTTCTCATTTTTTTTCTTTCACTGAAAGACATGCCGGAAAAATGTTATTAGCTTGACGTGTTGTATTGAGTTTTGGGTTTCTGTTCTCTTTGTAGGGAGGAGAAATGTTTCGAAGATTTTCTTACATGCTGTCTAGCTCCAGTTTTTGGAGGAGATGGTTTGACATTTAAATATCTGTATCTATCTATCTATATATATCTGGAGAAAGACTAAGGCAGTAAAAGAAGACAAATGCTGTCCAGTTGATTTATTGCATGTTCTAAGCAGCTGAGAAATATGGGGAAGATGGAGAAGTTAGTGATAGTACAGAGTGAAATCCTAGCAAACAGTTTATAAACAGGGGATAGTCACCAACAGGGATAAGCAACGCCTTGTTGGTTGCATGACCACCCCCATAAGCCAGCTTGAATGCCCAAAATGAGCAACAGCTGAAAATGGTTTCTCCTCATCACCCAGTCGCATATGTTTCTCTTATTGCTGTGCTCATGGTAACCGTTAACCTCAAAAGCTTGTCAAGCAGGTTGTCTCAGATGGGTGCTGCTGAACAAGCTTAGAGCCAAAAATTGTTCCAGGATGTCACCTAACAGAGTAGTGTGTACTACTCAGCATTAAGTGCCATATGACAAGATTGAGTTTATTTAGCATGCAACAGGAAACAGATGGCTTTCAAACTAAAACTACAGAGAACAAACTTTTATCTCTATTTAAAACCTTCAATTCTTTGGTGTTACTTTCTTCCTAATGTGTAGCCTTTGGCAGAAGAGTATCTCTAGAGCCTGTTGACTGCTGTGGTGAATGTTCTTTCTTCTATTCCAAACTAAGAACGCAGCAAATTTGAGTATTTGTTTTAAAGCTTATTTATCACCTTACGTTGTGCTTTAGGTCTGTTCTTTATTTTACTATTTTTGCAATTGGAATCCTGCCTTGCAGTCATCAGCAGCATGTACGGATATATCCCTTATTTTGAACAATCTTGCATCACATGTTCACTTACTGAACAAAGCATCTACCAGATATGAATTCTTTGACATATTTTTAAGTCTCTCTTGCCCACTTTTCTGGATAGAAAATATAATGTTTCTTATTTTCTTCCTTTTTGAGGGGTAATTTTTGTTTTCTCTTCTAAAAACAAAAGCCAAAACCCAAACCACAGAATCGCAGAATTGCCAGGGTTGGAAGGGACCTCAAGGGTCATTAATCTCCAACCCCCCTGCCACATGCAGGGCCACCAACCTTCCCACCTAATGCTAGACCAGGCTGCCCAAGGCCCCATCCAATCTGGCCTCGAACACCTCCAGGGACGGGGCATCCACAGCCTCTCTGGGCAGCTGTTCCAGCACCTCACCACTCTCTCTGTAAAGAACTTCCCCCTGATGTCCAACCTAAATCTCCCCTCCCTCAACTTAAAACCATTTCCCCTCGTCCTGCAGTTATCAACCCTTTCAAGGAGTTGATTCCCCTCCTGTTTGTAGGCTCCCTTTAGGTACTGAAAGGCTGCAATGAGGTCACCCCGCAGCCTTCTTTTCTCCAGGCTGAACAAGCCCAGCTCCCTCAGCCTGTCCTCATAGGGGAGGTGCCCTCCCTCCTGCCCCTCCTCCCCCAAAAGCCTGAAGGTGCAGGAAAGAATGAGGAAAGAAGACAGGTGAGAAACAATTATTACCTGTGTAACTTAACTAAATTCCATAGTCAGTCAGGTCTCCTTTAAATGTATCAGTGCTAGACTTGCTTCTGCTGGGACTAACCAAAACAATTTGCTCTTCTATCTATATGCTAATACATTATTCCTTACGTGCTCATCTTGCTTTGCAAGATAACATTGTTTTCCAGCCCAGCAGGGACCAATTTTGGCCTCTCCTTGAGAGCTAGCGTAGAATTCTTAAGGTAATATTTATTATAGTGTAGTTACAATGTATTGTAAGAGTTTTATCAATAGTTGTTTGTTTATGATTGTGCTAAGGGAAAATGATGTTGTTTTTTTCTGTCTATAAGCCAAGAGCAGAGAACTTAGTCTCTTTTGTTATAGAATTGATGTAGGTGCTAAGCATATTTCATACATCAATTGCAATACAGAAACATAGTTTGAAGGTACATAGGAATAAAAAAAGAAAAGAAAATGATAGTGCTTAACTGAAAAATCTCATCCAAACCTCTTCTTCTGGTAGAACCTCCTGCTGTGTGCAACTCTTAAGGGGTAAAGTGTTTATCCTGAGGACACTTCTGTAGAATACTCCGTATTGTGCCACCTGAAATGGTTGATTTTTCTGAACTGCGGCATTGCTAAAGGGAAAGAAGATCAGGTTGTGTCTGGGTGCTGCACTTAGCTTCCCTAGAAGTGTTCTTCTCTGTTTTGTCAGAAATTACCTGCTGCCTGTTAGGTGCAGTAGAAATTTGAGTCTTTTTTAGGTACTTTCTATGAGAACTATCATATTGTGTGTACGTATGTGCTGAACTGCCAGAGTAATTGGGCTTAGAATTGGCTTTCTCTTTTGGAACCCAATGCCATACAAGTGGAAGAGATCTAGTTGATTATACAAATACCATATTTAATATATCTGTTCTAATTTCTGCATTATTTACTATAGAGTAGTAGATATTTTGCTTTAATTAGCATTGTGCTTTTTGTGTCCTCTAACTTTCTATGTGTACAGATTATATTACTTATCTTACTTGATTTTCAGACTTTTTCTAATGATTCTCTCTTCATACTCTGCATTTGTCTGGGAAGTAAAGTTCTATAAGGTACAAAGCATCTTCCTTGGAATGACCCAAGAATATGGATGTGTCAGTGTACATTTGCATATTAAATGTGATGTTATTAGATGTGATTTATCCTTTGGACCTCTTAGCATCTTCTTGTAAAATGTGGTTAAGATTGTTTAAAAACTTGACTAAGCTGACAAGATGCATCGTTCTCTGAAGGAGTATCACTGCCCTTGGGACAGATGGAAAAACATGCTGGCATACTGCTAATAGATGCTATTTCTGTGATAGAGTTTAAAATGTGCAGAGAAAGATGAAGATAAAATAATCTTTTTTTTACTAGGTGTGTTTGTACTGAAAACTGATCCAGTGTTCTAAAAAATATGTAAACGACAGTTAAGTAAATGTTCACGCTTGCAAATTTCCCCTGAAGTGTGGTGTTTATTCAAATGGTGTTTTCTTATGGCTATTTACAGAAATGAGCTTTTTAAAAAATGTTAGTTAAAAAGCGTAATTCTTCACAGCGAAGGCAAAATAGATTGTGTGTGAAGAGAGAAAATTGATAGCCCAAGGAAATGAGTGGATGACTTATTTTCAAAGAGTTGCATAAAGAACAGTCAGTTCAATTTTTTTTTTAGTTTCTCTGTAATAGGAAAATAACAGTAATAATTCAATATTCAGCTGCTTGACAGGGAGAAATGGAAAAACAGATCAGTTACCACATTACAAAGTAATGAAGAATAAGAAGGATAGCTGTGCTCTATGAAACTGTTGAAATGAAGCAAGTTTACTTTAACTTCTTGATGTGGTTTTCTCTTTGAAATCTGTATCAATTAACATAAAGAGTTTAAAAAAAATAATTATCAATTTATAGCCTCACACATTCCCTCCAAGGAACTAACAGTTTATGTAAAGTTTTCTGACTTCATATAAAGTTTTTCTAGGTTTTCTAGATTAATCTTAAATGCTAAAGGTATGCTTCCTTCCTTCCTTCCTCCCATGCAGAGTCCGTTTTGGATTTGCCAGAACAATCATCAGATTATCCTCTGAATCAGAGCTTATTTTGGGGGATCTGGGATTGCCCGTTCTTCCTAACAAACAGAGTGCTGCTATGACTGCAGTCACTGAGCTCTGCATTCCTTGCTATGTATACCAGTATTGTGTAGATTTAATTCAGATTGTTGAAATGGAAGCAAGTGTTGACTTTGTAGTGTGTTGAACTAATATATATGGCACGTCAAACAAAGACCATTTTTTCCTAATGTATTCACATAACTCTGCTTAATCTTAAACATATCTACTGACATAGTACTCAGAATTACTGAAATCCAGAAGTCTTTGCAGCATGTAAAGGTAAAGGCCTGATATTAGAGCCCCAGAGATATTCATCCTTTGTTGGTGGGAAATTTGAGTTGTCTGAAATACGTTTGATTTTTTTAATGTTTTATTTTCTCCCTGCTAATTTATCTGATCTTTGGAAATCATATTACAGATCATTTGCTTATGCTTTCTTCAAAAGGTGGTACAAAATCCTGCTAAGCAAGTAGATCTGAAGTTTTGTCATACTATTATAACTTGGTACCATCTGAGATGAGAGGAATGTTCTGTAATTGTTTTATCTTTGGAATTCAGGGGATTTCAGCTATAGGACTTCTGACCCATTATAAACAATACAAATATTAAGTTAATGTAATAGTACCCAGATTATCTCACCAGATCAAACTATTTATCTTAATTAGGAAGGAACCTCTGTTAACCACCAGTGATATGGAGAAAACAAATAGCATGATCTTTAATGTACGTTTTGTTCTTTAAGATCATCTTAAAATGTTGGCAGTGATGAGAGGAAGAGATCCTCCTGGTGACACTAATTGTATTGTCATGCACTTATTATGGTAGTGACTGAAAAAACACAATTTTCTTATCCATATCTCTCTATTTTGTAACAGCATGTAATTGATAGCTGAAATTTAAGCACAATAGTGAGGGCTGCAGATATGAATGGTGATTACTGTGTTTTAGAGCAGTGAGGGAGGAAGGACGTTGCAGCCTTCTTGATAGGTTTTTTCTGTCTTAGCATCCCTCAATACTGGCCTGTCCTGGAAATTAGGTGCCTCCAGAGGTAGGGGTTGTCTTGATGTCTAGTTCTGTTTGATTCATGTATAATGTGCCTCTTTCTAATGAGAACTACTCTAAACTGTCCTCTTGGTACAAGGAAAGCATTTTAGCACTTAATCTAGGGAAAGCTTTGGGGTAAGTTCTGGCAAAAATGAAATACAGCTGTTAAGCTTAGAACTCTGGTTTCACACACATTAAATGGAGAGGTGGTCAGCGTATTACCTGAGCTAGTCCTGGGCCTGGGGCCTGATGCAGAAGCTAGATGGTTAGTCATCTTTATTCTGGTACTGATCTATGTTTAAAAGATGTGGCAAGCACCTGCACTGTATTAGGTGCAGTAACGTTGGATCATTTCCTAACTATTAAAATATTGGATAGAGAATGCTTACTTAATTACAAAAGTGTGTCAGATTGAATAATCTTTATGTATAATTATGTATAATACTTTATGTATAATTCTGTCTGGCAGTAAGAATAAAACTGTAAAATATTCTTCCTTCGTTCATTTATTACAGAAGTAAAACTGTGCATGGCAACAGGGAATGAGTAGCAATTCATTAATATGAATAGAATGCTGAGAGCAGTGCAGAAATCAGTCATCTGCCTCTTGTAAGTTGATACCTGTTTTCTGCTTCAGATGGTATCCTGGGATGGCCTGGTCCCAAGTCACATTCCTCAGAGCAACTGAAAAATGGTGCCCTCAGCTCCTTATCATCTGCTAGTGCCAACATCACATGGGCCATAGTTCCATCTGCAGCCCAAGATGGGCAGACACTACAGCCAGGTACTGAGGTAAGCAGACCATTTCTGTTGTATTTGAGACTAGACATTGATTAGATGCAAAGATGTGCACTAGTAGATGCTTCTATGAATTACTTACTGTACTTTTTATTGTTCTGTATGAAATAATTGTTAAAATGGTATTTTATGCAAAAATGTACTCTGAAAACTAGAACAGAATGTTTATGTATTGCTCTGTGCTTTTGCTTCTCTGTGATACTGAGAGACAGTGGACCGTGGAAAGCATATAATCTCCTAGTTGTAAAGCCCATTAGTGGTCTTCAGTATATGTATCTATCTTTGATGATAGAATAAGCTGTTTGGTTTTTATTCTGCTTTGAGACAGGAGACATTAGGACCACAAGGTTTGCTTGCTACCCATTTTTCTATGTTGCTAATTGCTTTTGAATGCCTCTGGGCACAGCTTCTCTGAGTTCAAAATTGTGCATTGCTTTCTGGCCCATTTTCATGTTAAGTGATTATAGGCAAACTTGTTCACATCACCTGCACCAGCCTGTTGATTTGTGCTTTTGTGGCATTTACTTGGTAAAGGGCAGTTCTGAAGCATCGACTCTTTGAGGAGGCTCATAGCTGCGTATCAGGCATCTGGGGCACTGAAACTCTCTCACCATGTCAAACTTCTCCAGCTTCTGCTGTCTGCTTTGGATACCAGTGCTGCCCACCAGGAAAACACTTCACACTGAGACTTCACAGATTGTTGGGCACCTGGAGCACACAAGACTTGGAGAACTGGAAAGACGTTTTTGAGAGCTGAAGAAACCCTTTAGTACAAGTGAATGCTCTGGCAATTGGAATTGCTTAAAATATATTGCCTTTAACAAACTTTGTAATGGCTGGGGTGATCAATAAAGCTGTTTGTTTTTTCTAGGTCTTTTGTAGTATCTTGAGTTGAATATAGTTTAAAAAATCCTGGGCTAAACCAAAGTAGATTTTTTTAAATATTACTTGTTACTTTGGTTCTCCTTCAGTTCTTTGTTACTTTGGTTCTTTTCCAGTTCTGTCCTTAAAAAGCAGTTTCAAGTTCTGCTATTTTACGGTGTCCAATAATCTCAGTGTTTAAACGAATTATATTTGCTTTTTACTAGGAGGTTGTATAATTCCTTTTTTAGATGAGCCAACTGCAATTCTTACAGCATTTTCTTAAGAATATTCTTTTGAGAGCTTTCTGTACTCACTTTATAAATATATAATAAATAAACATGATTTTTAGAGAGCATCATTTTTGCAGTTGAATCGAGCCATTTATGATTTGTTTTGAATTACAACTATTTTTTTCAAAGACTCATCTCTTCTTTTTTTCTTGCTAATGTGAAATACTGAGTTTTGCATAGGGCTTGAGGTATGGGAGCTTATCATTTGTGGAGGAGGGAATACCCTTCCAGAGATGGATATTAGCAAGGGAGCATAATACTAGTTTTAATACAGAATACTTGGTGCTTTGTGGACCATCTTTCTGAAATCAGCAGCCTGCATTTGCATCCCCTGGGGGCACTATCACTTAAAAAAGGGAAGAAAAAAAAAGAAGAAATAAAACAGATTACAGAAAGTTCAGGATGTTGGCTTTGGCACAGGCAGTGTTTGGAAGTTAGTAGATTGAAGCAACAATAAGCATCTTTACTTGTGCATGTAATTTTTGTTAGGGTAGTACAATTTCTCAGGCAGAAATTCTCTTTTGCCCCAAAAAAGGACCTAAATCAGGACTCATTCCTGGAAGCTCTTTTCAAAGCTATATTCCTTCCACAGAATCTTTGTGGTTCAAGTTGTCCAGGGTTGATACTATTGGCTCACAGATAGAAATTGTCTTCCAAAAGGGGCTGATATCTTGATCAAAATTGAAAATCTATCAGTGTATTCTTGGAAGGCTGAAGCACACTGCAGTTGGATTTTTTTTGTTGTTATTGTGTTCAACTTCAGATCTCGCATGCTGTCATGGCCTGTTAAAGAGGTTACACATGTCTTGATTGCTGTGGTCAGATTCTTTACTGGGACAGATGCTCTCAGAGAGAGCTGCAAGTTTTCTGCCCAATTGTGTAAGCTGAGCAAAGTGTCAAGTAAAAGACAAAGCTTTCTGTTGCTGTGACTATAGAAAGGAGGGCTGGCTTTGTGGAAAAGAAAAATAGTTTGAGTAGCATAACTGTTAGCCCACTGAGGATGCTATCCAGCAGTTACCCAGTAGATGATATCTGACTTTTAAAAAATTTGTCTATTTTTTTCCCCAAGCTATCAAAGATGTTCTGCTTAAAACTCACTTTCACATGTACTCTTGATATGCTGTGTGTCTGAGGCAAGAGTGAGCGACACCGAGTAGTGAGTTCGCGTTCAAAGGTATAAGAAGCAGAGGCTCAGCTAATCACTTAGTATGTGAGATTATATATAAAAACAATTGCAAGTCATCACGCTCCAATTATTTCCTAGTGCAGATATTAATTCCTTGTTAGTAACTGTCGTGGCATCAGTAGAGAATGAGATAATCCATCTATAGGTGTCATTGTTAAAGAAACTTGTGATGTGGAAGACCATGACTTCTCATTGTCTAACTGGCAGTTGCTCTTAGGTGTGGGAGGAAAAAAAGAAGAGGAATCCACAAAGCGTCATTCAAATGATGTTCATTTATCTCAATGGCTTTCTTGAAAAATTAAACAAAAAACCCAAACCCTCACACCAAAAAAGAAAAGCAACAAATTGAGCCCTGGCTGATCTTCATCTCTGAGCAAGTTGGTAGTGTGTAAGTTGGGCCAGTTTTCAGAAGTGCCTTAATTTTAAAGAAGTTCTGAGAAGCGAGTGCTGTTTCCTCTTTCAGTGCTATCAAGTTAATTCTGGTTTCCTCTTTGGCCATGCCTGGATTTTTATGAAAGAATACTTTATTTTTTTGATAGTATCTCCTCTGTCTCTTAGTCAGAAGCTATGCCCCAAAGGAATGGGAGAGAGCTTTTTGGCCGACATTCAGCAGAATATATTAGATGTAGCAACTAAACAAATTGTGAATTGACCTGTAGTCTGAAATAGAAAATGCCATTAAATTGCTGCCCTTGAGGAGCAAATGACTTAGCTGCTTATGTTGTAGGATGTTATTTATAAAGATCATTTTAGGTATGTGAATCAACAGTGCTTTTTAAGAAGAAAATAGAGATGTTTGTTGTGTTGGAAAGAGATTGCTAAGGAATTGTTCCCAATAGAGAAGGCTACAAACCGGCAGCAGTTCTTTGGCTACAAGGCCAAGTTAGTGATAGTTAATTCTCAGCATAGTAGGTAGACTCTTTGTAGCAGTGCATTAAAAAATGTCATTAACGCATATAAGACAATTTCTTCTTTTTAATGTTTACAAAGAAAGCATGGACAAGATTTATCTGATGCAGTTTTAATACCTAATACCTTGAGGAGTATAGTAAGTTGCAGAGCTGGGTTTTGATGCCACATATAACTAAGGGGAAAAAAAAAACATTCATTTTTGTTTTGCTGCCCAATTAAGGTTTCAGGTTCCAATTTCTCCCCTGGTGAAACAGTGTAGCAGCTAGAGAGTCTTATTTTTAAACAATCTGTTGCTGTTTACTTGCTTTTGTTATTTAAAATGTTTCTTGTTTCCAAGTGCAGGGAGATGTCATTTGAGATACTTCTTTAAGTAGCTCATAGGAAAGGAAAAGATCGTGTAGCAGAATTCATTTTTCATGTGTATTTACTTGCTTATTTTGTCATCTCCTTTGTTGTTATTGTTGTTATTACTGCTTTTTCTACCTACATGAGAATTTCCTTTCAAGTTTGTGTTATAAAACAGCATTAGGTTAAAGCCTGCCTTATCAACTGGAAGAGGTAACCACTGATAGTGAAATGCCAGATAGCTTTTTCATATTGTTTTCATCAGGGCTAAGGGCTGATCTGAACAGAGCTATTCTACATCTGATGTGAAATGACTTAAAATACTTTTGTGCAACCCCTAACGAACCTGCCTGGAGTTCTTGGTATAAGTTATAAGGTATTTTACAGAGTTTTCCCCTTAAAGCAGAAGTGGACGAATATGCCTTTGTACATCTTTCATAGCTGTGATGTGAACTTGATCTCTGTAAAGTCTGCAACAAACAGTGACCTGCTCATAATTGTTTACAACTTGGAAATTCCTTTCTTGAAGTTCTGAAATTGATTAATTTCAAAATATTGAGTTTTGTAATAAAGTTTGTGCCTAAGTAGAATAAAGCTGTGAATCACTTCCATGTGTGTGCTGCTCTTCCAGTTCAACTAATTGTAATTTGGGGTATCAGAAGTCCCCCTCTGAGCAACAAGAATGGGACCGCAGGCCAAATGTTTCCCCTGGTAGCCAAATACAAATGGTGGTTCTTAGGGGGGACCTGAGAGGGAAATCCTAATTTTCTTTAGATCTAATAGTTTGATTAAGAACTATTATGTTGTAATATGCTGAATCTACATCTGCAATTTAGCTCTGTTCTTGTGATTTTTTTTTTGTTAATTCCTTAACTTGCCATGCCAGCTGATTCTTGCTGTCTTGGGGATTTGGCATCTTTGCAGTCTCTCTGCTTTCCTGTCCCTAACTTTCCTTGCTTACGTGCCTGAGGAACTGTACGCATGTTCCATACCAAAGTATGTTTTTAATAGGATTGAAGTTTCAGCACTGTAGGATTTTGAGGCTTAGCTCTGATTATCTAACTGGTAAACCAGGTTTTCATTGTGTTAGTGATTGCAAGTGTAGTCAAGTCCTGATCATTAAGGATATTTATGTCCCCTGGATGGTCTGAACCTTGATGTTTTCAAATGCAAGAGGGAACTGCAGTATTTGTAGGAGGCACAGAATTGTTTTCTTCTTAGTTCTTGAAGATATGTTTTTGTCCAATCAGTTCAGGAGACTGTGTCTTTTAGGCTGAAGTTGCTTTCTGTCTTTAATATGGATCCTAATATGATGGTGCTTCATCCTCTGTAGAGTCCTTTCTCTTTTAGAGCCATTACAGGATGATTTAGAGATGGTAAGAAATAATTTCATGCAT